TGTAGTTGGAGTATAGGAGTTGAGTACTTTTTTTTCTGTGTATGTAAAATTCAAAGTATAAAATGAAAAATAGTAGTGAATGTACTCTGATCATGTAACTGTACAGGAAGAAAATTGCCGGTTTCAGATATCTTCTCCAAAATTGGGTGGAACATTCCATATTGGAAGTTGACAACTGAAGTTGACAAATATTTCATTAGGCCAAACTCCTACCCCCATAGAACCTTCTCTTTCAACATACCCTAGAAATGTAGTTTCCACTTAAGAAGTAAGGATCTGAAGAAAACACTGTAGCTAAAAGTTTCACATAGTTGATTTGTGTCATCATGGAATGCAATTTCACTGGGATCCTGGGACCCCCTGTTGCCTACATCAGGGACACATAGTTTTCATACACTCTCAGATAAGCTATTCAAAATTTTGAATTGTAGCCCAATTTGAGTTCAATTGAATTTGTCTTACTCCAGGGATTAAGAAGGAAACTGACTCATTACTCTCTCTTCCTGCTGGATTCTCTGCTCTGATGCTTCATGTGCCAAATGATTATATGACCATAAGTGATTGTATTAAAGTTAAAAATTATAAGAAAATTTGTCCTATATCCTATGAAAAAAGAAATAGAATAAGATAAAATAAAACAGATGTTGAAAGATTACTTTGTATTCTCGTGCAGCCTATCACTCCTTTACAGATATTATATGCATGAAATGAAAATACTATGGAATCAAATAACTCGTGCTATATACTGAAATGGCTACAAAAAAATACTAATTAGGAAAATATATAACATTCCCTTTAAGAGTTATAGTTGCATTCCTAAACAACAGTGTGTGGGAGGAGATGATGACATATTTGCCAATCTACCATCTACCATCACAACACTTGACATTAAATGTAATTCTTTCCTGACATACAAACAAAATATTTTGCTTTAATGGGATATTATTATCCCATTTTACATATATGAATATGCATTTAAATATTTTGCTAATTTGTACCTTAATTTTAATGTTTTTAATCATTTTAATTGGGATTAAAACCTGAAAAGGTCTGTAAAACATAATGATATGATTATGCCATAATTGGGTCATGTAATTGGTTTCCCTCACCCATAGTGCTTGTTTCCAAATTTTATCATACTGAAAAGTTAAAAATGTTATTACATTTTGTGGAATGGGGAAAAGCTATGTATAGAAAAGGAAGTAAAAACAAACTGAAATGGAAAAAAACATTGTTGGTAAAGGTCTGTTGGAGAATGACATTAGCTGAAACAAGCACTTAACTGCCCAATGACACTTGAGAAAGCACCATTTCAGGTACAGCAGTAAACAACTTTAAGCAAGATTACTTGCTGCTTAGCAAAGGGCAAAGATTTGGTTCATTTGAAGAATGTTTAATTGAAGATAAAAAATGAATGAAACAAAAGAGAAAATATGAGATTAAGAGCTGCTGAAATGTAAAATGTTTACCCAGCCTTACCCCATGAGAAAGTGTACCTTAGTGAACATGCCAAGTTTAGCCAAAAGGCAGACTTCTAAGGGTGCCATATTTAGTCCCATCACACTTTCCTAAAGCAAGACTAACATATCAAACCAGTTTATTCATTTAACTAGTCTAATCACCTTATTTAGTTGTTTGCTCTTAAAACACGGCCAAGCCTTTTATATATTCCTGAGTTCTTTTGAGAGGTATTCAAACAGTTATATGACACTCCACTGAAATCATGGTCGGTGATGAAGGTTACCAATAGCATATTAAATAATAGCAAAGGATCAGGTAAAGCATTTGATACTGGGTGTGCTGTATTTATCTTGTACTGGAATAGAATGAGCTGGGATGCCCCAGACCTGGAAGCCAGAGAAGGGAAAGGCAGAAACCGGTTATCGTGTTCTAGGGTAGATCCCTGGATATCGTGTACCTAAATAAATACCAATTATAATGAAATTTATAATAATCCAATATCAAAGGAATGCAGCATAAATATATTGGTGAAAGAATTTATAAGAATGCTGCATAACATTAACCCAATGCCGCCAGGTAGAATGAATAAAAAATAGGGGAAATGCTGGGCTCTTTTTTTATATTTTTTGTGAAATGTTTCTGCACATAGATGGCTCTGCTAGTGCTTAGCCACAAAGGAGTCAATTAGTAGACGTTGTGACCTTACCTGATTTCATCTTTCCTTGAATTGGCAGGAAAAACATATTTTTTACTAGTGTTATAATTATCAATGGTGTTATTTTCATTATAAACATTATAATTACTTTAATGTTATAAACATTAGTATCTGCAAAATAAGATAACGTAATCTATTTTCGTAAATCAAAGAAAATGGTAAATGGGCGAGACAGGCAGTACTCGTAATTGGCTCATTGGTGATTTAGTGCAAATGTAGTCATCTATGTGTATAAACAATTAAACAAAACTCACTGTCAGCATGGCATGTACGTCCATACCATGCCCGTCGGCATTGGGTTAATATCTGTGTGAGTCACACGCACACATTTACTATTATACAAGGTCAACCCTTCCTTGTACAGTTACAGAATATGCATATGGTTATATTTTGACACTTTCATATATGTTTATATGCATGCATGCATATTATATAGATAGATAGATAGATAGATAGATAGATAGATAGATAGATAGATAGATAGATAGATAGATAGATAGATAGATAGATAGATAGATATGTATGTATGTATATTTATATTATATACATATATGTATGTGTATGTATATGTATTTAAATATAAATGTGCGTGCATATGTATATATAATATATATATATATATATATATATATATATATATATATATATATATATATATATATATATATATATATATATATATTTATATATTATATATATATATATTTTTTTTTTTACATATTTACATATACATACCTACGCACATACATGCCATATACATGTGTGTGTGGGAAAGAACAAAACTTGTTATCCAGAACTGGGATAGACTGAGATGGGTATGATGCAGGTGTTATACTGCTGGTACATATTTGAATACATAGCTTGCCTGAATACAGTCAGATATAGTAGTAATTTTTTCCATATTGTAATTGGGTTGAAACAGAGTCTTCCAGCTAAATGGAATTGTAGGCTCTCAAAGTGGACTAAATGGAGAGTTGTGTTTTATCTCATCTCTAAGTAAAGTCGTCCAAGCTGAACTGGTGGTTGAATAAAATATTTTCCATGGATACTCACATCTTTCAACAAGGAAAGCACCATGGATATAGCATGATTTCTAAGAATGAATTATTTGTAATCAGTCAGAAAAATATGATTATTAAACATATTGTGTGAATGCTAGAAAATATACAGTTCTCTCAAAAAATATAGGTATATATTTGACAGTAAGAATGGGTGATTTTGATAATTCACAAAGCACAACAAACAAATTAGGAGGAATAGAACTTCTATGGCTAGATACTAGAAGAAATCTCAAGTAGGAGCAAAAAATGTTTGCAGGATATGTGATAGATTAGATTAGATAAACGGGTAGAAAATAGGGATAAGTCGATTAGATAGTGATATCTTATAAAAAGTTATGAGAGGTGTCCCAAGATGTTAAGAAAGGAGCTGTGCAGATATTTGTTTGTTTGTTTTCAAGTAAGAACCCATTTATCGACCTCTGCTGAGATTGTTATACGCAAAACGTTGCTGTTCTTCCTTATACACAGTGGTTCCTGTTATATGCTATGTCCAGTGTTGTTTGGTTTTGTCAGTTTTATTTATACACATATGGCTTCACAAATATATACTCATCAAGAGTCATTTACTAGGCCTTCCGGACCTCATTTTTTTCCCCTATTCCTGAATAGAATTATCTGAGAAAAAATATTGATTTGTATTGCTTTTGTTGTTATTAACAATGTTATTGCTGTTAACAATTTTATTATTATAATTGTTAGTAATAATTAGTAACTTTTCTTTCTTAAATTTCAAAGAATATAGTAAGATCAGTATATATAGTATTTGACACTGGTGACTAAGCACTCCTAGAGCTTTGTATGTGTAAACAAAATTGATCAAACAAAATCTGTGAACATTGCTGGTACACAAACACACCTAGTATCAATGGTTTAAGTTTCATTTATGCACAATTTAGGTTGGAATTCTTTTTGAAAGAAATATGCTTTTGCCCACTTTCCTATCCTGTTTCCAAATTTTACTAATAGCATTGTCATATTGCAGTAACCACCTCGAAGAGCTTGAGTGGAACCCTTCCAACTTCTCCAAGTTCAACCAGCGCAAGCGGAACCTTTACCTCCCCTACCAGCCAGTCCAAAGGTCGGGATCGTTGGGGAGGGTGGCTAGGAGGTTCCCTCAGCTCCCAGCGAGGACGCACTGAAGCCACCCGGCACCGTGCAAACTCCAGCCCCCTTCAGAGCTCTGAACCAAGAGCTTTCGACATGACGAAGTTATACCCAGAACTGTCAGCCAAGTTGGGGCTCACCAAACCAAACTGCAGTGACAGCACGAACAGCCACAAAAATGGTATTACGCAAAGAGAACACTTTACCTCAGGCCCTTTAAGCAAGTCAGAGAGTGCGATGGATGACTCAAGAATTAAGGTGGTTTCCTCTGGCCAGATAATTAATAATACAAAAGGCCTTCTCGCTGCCAGACTCAGTAATGGAGTGCAAAGTAGCAAATCAAATAGTGTTAAGTCGTCAAAGCCAAAGCCAAAGTGCGGGGAAAGAGGACAGAAAAGAGAAGGTCATGGCAGGTCAGCCGGACGGACAGAAGTGATGGCCTCTCCCCAGATGCTGTCTAACCTTGGACCTGCTGGAAATTCTATAAAGGGACCAAATTCTTTTGCCTACAATAACAAAATCTCTGGTGGCAGCAGTAGTCGAAGTAACAGTAGCAGCAGCAGTAGAAGTGGAAGCAGCAACAGGAACATAGCTGGCAAAAATAGCAGTATATTGGAGGAGCAACTGAGGGGAGGAGGAGGAGCAGGATCAAAGCAGTTGGGAAGCACAGCATCCTCGCATGGGATCCTGCCCCATCAGAAGTCATCACCGGCCAGCATAGCCAGGCCTGGCAGTTTGGCTCGCCCTTTCTCCATATGTAAGTTTCGCAAATTTTTATTTCTTTATTCGTTATTGGTTTTGTAGTTAATTGCAATTAATATTTCATTCTGTAATACAGTCTTATGCAAAGGTGAAGTCACTGGAAAATTACTCTGCTTTTAATTAATTCAGAAATTGATAACATTCCATTGAATTGTTGCAAAATCCAAAATATTATTACTTGTTTGTTTTCATAAGACACTATAAACTTACCTTGTGACATAAAAAATGCACATATTTTGCCATTAAACCACACATTTTGTAGAAAAAAATTACCAGTAGCCTATTGAATTATGATATTGGACAAGAAGAGAAGAAAAACACTTTATTCTTCATCTCAAGGTCATGATGTATGAAGTGGACTGAGGACATCAGCTTTGTGTACATGACATCCATCTTCCCCCAAATCCACTTTCCACCTAACCAGGCATTAAAAATTATTTTCCTCCTTTATGAGCTCCATCCTCAAGTTCTCAATCGTATCAGTGTCTCTTAATTATTCTTAATACCTTACTTTTCAAAAAAAATCCTCAGTCATTTGTAGTTCACATGTTTTTTTAATTCACTGTCTGTAAAAGGCTGTGAGTTCCTCTAAACAATGGCTAGCAGGAGTAGTCATTGTGGTTAGACAGCTCGACTCTTTATTAAGGAATAGTACAACACCATAAGGGAACACACAAGGTGATGGCTTGTGGTTGACCTGAGCATGGTAACTGGTGGGAGCGAACTGAGGGGTCAGACGAGATCAGATATAATTGTCATCTAAGTCCTCGCTGGTGTGATGGTTCTTAATAGACTTAGAGCCGCGTGGCAAACAGCTACATGGTCTATTGGTCTCATAGCTTACAGAAATCGTGCTAATGTAAATGCTATATTGTCTGCTATATTGTCTGTTTCCATTCTAATATCTAATACTTATTGTCACACGGTAACAAATCCAACTCCCAGCTTCTCAAATACTTTTGTGAGTGTCAGTCTGTTTGTCTGTGCTAGACTGTTAAACAGAGAGAGTGAGAGTGTATGTGTATGTCTGTTTTGAGAGAGATACAGAGTGTGTGAGTATGAGCATGAGTTTTAGTGTAAGAGAGAGAGAGAGAGAGAGAGAGATTTGATTTGATAAGTTTATTGAGACAAAAGCTTACATCTGAAAAGGATGAGGCAACATAGGTTATCCTCACCCTTATCTTAATAAATCCTTATATGGGCTCACATTTCACATACAAACATACATACATACATACATAGGTATATCAACAAATGAGACACACACATCTCCATTGGATCTGTCTAGTCCATTGAACAGATATCTATGGCACACTTATACTATCAACATACTCTGTTGTTCACGTTTTCCTGAATCATGTCTTGAGCCAGGCCAAATACAGTTATTCATGTAAAGACATGCGAGACTATGTATAAACAAACTGTAAAGTATGACCACTCTTGCTGTACATCTGGGTGACACTTATCTGGGTTACTCTGTATCACTTGTTTCATTGTTTCAAGGGAGGTTCTATCAGTCCTTCATCACATCCTTATGATTCTCCAACATTTCTCAAAGGTGATTGCCCATTCATCTTGTACAATTTTCCATTTTCAAGAGGCTTTCTTTCTCCTGATCTTTGCACTTTACCAGGAGTGACCTGAAGTCTGCAGAGGATGTTCCTAACACTAAACTCACTGTTATTTACCTTTCCTTTCCCTGAAATTTTAACTGGGTAATTGCCGATACTTCCTTCCCAGAAAAATCCACATTACTACTCCATGGCGCTTCATTCACTTCCTGCACCTGTTGGTCGTCCTGAGGTTGATCGCTTCCCTTTGAAGACAGATCCACATGCCCTGTAGCCAGGCATTGGGGATTGTAGTTGTGCCTTCCCTTTGCACCTCTGTCTGCGAGGTGGCTGGGCTCTGTTCTTTTCCTGCAATTCTTTGCTGGGGAACAGCCGGATTAAGCTTTGATTCTGGCCTTTCCCTGCATGCCAGGGACCCAGCATGATTGGCAGCTCCACATAGAGTGCCACCCTCCTGTACCCTGCTCCCCTTGCAGGAGGGCAACAAGCTGACTCTGCTCCTTGCCATCACTGTCCTCTTGTATCCCTGAGTCATCAGGGTCTGTTCTGCCTCGCATGCCCATACCATGATATATGGCCTCCCTCTGCCTTCCTTCATGGCTCAAAATCATGGTGGTCCCGACCCAGTTCCAAGGCCCACCTTAATTTCTCCAGGAAGTTCATGGAACAGTCCTGTGGGAATAACAATTGTTTCATGCCATTCACATCAAAAACATGCTGATTTCCTGCTTCAATTCCCCCTTCATTTTTCTTCCTCTTCTCCTGCTCACTTCCATTTTCATTGTCACATGTCCACACTTCCTTCACTTCTTTCCTTTTTATGGGATCCACTCACAACATGTCCTTGCGAGGTAAAACTTTTATTCTCCATTTCTGCGTTGGAAAGGGGCCAGAGGCACTTCACCCACTCCCTGTCTGGGGGGCGCAGGATTGTCTGACAACTGAGGACAGCACTAAAGCACGTCCTACTTCTACGAGAGATACACCACAACTCAGACAGACAGACAGAGACAGAGACTAAGACAGAATATTTTTTGATATGTATAAGATAGGGCCTATTTTATATGTAAAAGTCTGGTAAACATCATTCAGAAATTAAAGATATGACATCTGCAGTCGTTATATTTTTGTCTGCAGCACATGTCTGAAAGTAGTCTGCATACTTCTGGGTTCATTTTGAAAAGGATGGGTTGTGTTTTAAACTGATGATAGAAGAATAAGTAAGTCAAGGAAACAAAAGGCAAAAACAGTAACTTGGTGGTCATAAGGAAAAAATCCTAGATATTTTTTTTCACTAGGAAGCTAACCCCAGACCATATCTGAAGGGATTATTGCCCTTAGTCGAAAAGAAGCTGCATATAATGGAAATATGGTAACATCAGTGAGTTGAAGTAACCATTGGTAAAAAAGATAAGTCATCTAAATAAACTTCTCAAGATACAATTTATGTTTTTTGTTCATGAAATGGAGGAATAGCCTTTTCTCCATTAATGTATTGTTCATCATCTTTATAATGCAGTAATAATTTCTCTAGTAAAGGAGAAATCTAAGTATCTTCCAGGGATACTTTGGTGCATGAAGCACTGTTTTTTACAAATAACTTGAGTAACTTGGTATTTATCATAGAAAGATGAATTTGGATAATTTTAAAGGGGAGGAATTACACTTTGTTCATGCTAAAGATAAACACATAAGGAAAATACCAAAACAGAGAGTTTAAGATAGCAAATAATAAGTCATTAGAACTATATACATACAAATACAGATATAGATACTTTTTGTTGTTGTTATTGTTGTTGTTGTATAGAGGAGTTTTCCTTTTCAGTCATGGGTAATTTTTCTTGTATTTTGCTCATCTATAATATGGGAAGATACAAAAAATGAGCAACCTCTGCTCATCAGTAAACAATTTTTTGTATATACTCTTGTAGTATACTTGATATTTGTCTTAGAAAGCTAAGGTTGGTCTCCTTTTGGATGCGAGGATTATTTATACTGAATATACTGAAGAAAGAATTGAATGTACTTTATTGCAATATAAAATTAATGGAAATAGTGACATATTTTCAAGGCTCATCATTGTCAAAGACATTTTTAGAACAATGCATGTAACAGAAATAATGCTCATACCTTATTGCCCTCCCAGATATTGATTTTTGTTGATTAGACTTGATAACAAATGTTGCCGATCACAGAATTCTGCTCACTCCAGTAAACAGTCTAAAGATTAACATATTCTTTCTTTACTGATCTTGCACTATATACATCCCTCATACTGCTCTTACCATCTAGTAAGCAATTTATTGGTTATTCAAAGGAAACTCTTTAGAAAGAAAATAAAACTTTAGAAATTCTTAAAGGTGACATATTTCATAAGTATAGCACTGCCTTTTATGAACAAGGCAATTTGTGAATGGCATCAATATTGATAATAGGTGAGCAGTGGCATTTGTACTACTCAGAAAGTGGAGGAGACACTTTTGGGTTAAGAGGAATGTAGTTTTATGGGAATATATTTCTGTAACATCTCTATATGATTCATATGTAACAATATTTTTTTAATACATTCGTTTGTAAACTTGGAATGTAAATAATTTAGGTAGAGGTATAGTTATTTTGAAGTAAATTATGCAACTTAGCCAACTGAAGGAAACTTACAAAAAGACTATCTTTGATAAGAGTTCATGTATTGATCTGACACATTAACCTCTATGATCCAGATGATGTGACCATCACATGGTGCCTGGCACCATCACACTTACATGTACCCCAGATTGAACATGAGGAATTGACCCAAATTACGCAGAGGGAACAGGTTGATAATATAATAAAAGAAATAATTACTTGGTCTGTTCTGAGGTTGTAAACTACACAAAATGAACAGATTAAGTTAGCCAAGTGGGTAGAAATCAAATTGCTAAGTGCAGTAAGTCAATTATTTGGTTAGGGTTCACTGTTCAGCACCAGGGCATGTCTTTCAACATGTGGTCAACTGACACTATAGCTTTGCTCAACCAGTACACTCCACACAAACTTGCCTCCTCCCTCCAGCAATACACTGCTTGCTTCAGCATTTCCATGTTGCCAGCTGTTTGAGAACTCATGCATCTAAATATCCACAGCCATGCCCTAGCATTTGTAGACCACACATCCACAGACCTGCTTGAGTCTGCATCCAGCCACAGGGAGGAGACAAAAAATGAAACTTAAATATTATATACATGAAAGAATTTGTATGAAAAGTGTGAAATATTGTCTGTTATCAAAATGACTCAATTATGTAGAATTTTGGAGTTCTTGATATATGATTCCTATTGATGTTTAACCAAAAATGTTCAGCTGGAATGCCACTAGAACTCAGTATTGTCTGAGGGCAGATCCCCATCAATGCGAGAGTCAGACATTTATATATAAATACTCTAAAGAGAGAGTGATATGAAATGTTAGATACCAATATGAATTGGACCATCAGTGTAAACACTTTAATAGTTGTTACCAAAGTTGTTTTGTCTCCAACAGTGATGGTCAGTTGGTCTGTGCCTGGCTCACAAATGGACCAAAAGCCAGGCATTGGGCTAACTTGAGTGGTTACTCTCTCAGTTGTGTGGCTCATAGCCCCAGCCCACATGAACACTCATGTGTGATATCAAAACTAATTGCCTCCCCATTGCAAAGTTTTCCTTTCTTTCTTTCTTCTTTTCATTCTTACGTTTTCCAAGTATATTTGTCATTTGATATCCTGTATGAAGAAAATAATAGACTGGCTTCCTTAACTCATTGGATCTGGATGCTTCACTGCCATCATGTGGCCCAAAACACAGGCATTAGGCTTATGTGATTAGCCACTCTGACAGGTGTTTGGCTTGAAGGCCTGAACACTTGTGCGGTGACTAGAGTCCCTTTCGCAATGTTATTTACTCTTTTTCTGCACATGCATTTTTGGCTTTTTTGCCATCTTCATGTGTCGATATTTGTCATTTTATTTACTTAATACAGATGGTAATAGACAGTTTACCTTACACAGACTCCATATCATTTATCTAGGTAGTCCATAACTCAGTGCAATAATGATAGCAATCATTATCTTCTTCATAATATTCAATTTTCTGTACTACAACCTGTGCTGTTAGTCATTGCAGCCAGGAATAGGATCCTGGGCATGAAAATAGCATCCTTCCATGAGATGACACTTTTCCAATCATGGTTTACAGACAATACATTCCACACTTATTTATCTATGGAAATAGTGCAAAGGCCCCTTCCTAAATGCCAAATGAGTCTAATCACCTTCCAAGAGGTTTGTGCAAAAATCCATAGATTCCCCCTCCGCCTCCCCCCATCTAGTTCCTTATTTCTGTACTTTTTCCCTGTCTGCAGAAAGAAGAGAAAAATGATAAGGAAGAAAAAGAAGAGCTGTGATGATCCCAAACATACCCATCCAGTTCCCTGATGAATAGCCTTTGATGGCAAGGTAGGCTAACAAGGCTCCTCTCTCTCCCACAGCATCCACGGCTTCCCCTAGCAGGAGTCTAGTCACCAGCCCCGCCACGTACCCCCCCTCCGTGGCAGCACACCAGCCCCGCGTGGTCACCCTGCCCCCTCGGAGACCACCGCAACCCACCATCACGCGAGCTGCATCAGCCACTCTCCCCGAGCCTCTCTTACGGGTCCATTCACTACGGGAAAAATACTACGCTTATAATTCTGATCTCTTTCCTTTAGGTAAGAATGTCTGTAGTTGGCACCGTAGAGGTTGCATGTCCATAGCTGTTGGTATGCTCGGAATGCTCACAGAAATTGGTAATTCATCTGATGTACTTAGATATATCCAAGTAAGCACTGTATATAATGGGAAATTGCGAGAATTCATGATGGGAAATAGAGGGAAATATATATATACTGTGTGTATATGTCCACCAGTATATATTTGATTTATTATATATATATATGTGTGTGTGTGTGTGTGTGTGTGTGTGTGTGTGTGTGTGTACATATAAATATGTACATATATATATGTACATATATATATGTACATATATATATGTACATATATACATATATATATATACATATATATATATATATATATATATATATATATATATATATATATATATATATATATATATATATATATATATATATATATATATATATATATATATATATATATATATATATATATATATATATATATGTATATATACACACATATACACACACAGACATACATGTATACATACATATATACATACATATATACATACATATATACATACATACATACATACATACATACATACTTACATATATACATATATATATACATATATACATATATATATACATATATGTACACACACACACACACACACACACACACAATATGTAAATATTTATATATGTGTATATTTTTCCATATATAGATATATATATATTAACACATAGATATATATATATATATGCATGTAGGTATGTATGCATGTAGAAAAAATTCTGGAAGTAAAATGAACATAATTGTATTAGGAATAGTGTACCCAAAAGCTGGAGATGTACATCATTGCAACTGAGACAAAGGGGCATGACTTCATTCTTCATGGAAAGTATCCAATTTTTATTCAGATGCCTTAATTTCTGCTGTTATATCTCTTAGATGTGTAGATACTGTGTGTGTTTCATCAGATTGTCATGATTGGTGTAATCCTGCTACTTGCAACTTTACAGTGCTGGCACAGTCTTCAGTAACCACAGTTTTAGATATGCCACTTTGTCTCAGGAGTGCTCATACTATAATCCCATTATTATTTATTTTTTATTTTTTTTTCTGTTTAGTAAGATAGTATCTGTCCACTCATATAGTAGACAAAGAAGAAAGTGGTAATGTAAAAGAAAATAACAAGCTTCAAGCAAAATATTTACTCTCATCCTATTTAGAATAACTGTTGTATTTTTATAAAGTAGAAACAATGCATTTTCAGAAGTAATGCCAATGATAATGAATTAAGAATATATCTAGATGTTAGATTTAGACTGAAAAAGAAAATATACAAAGTACAAAGGTCAGTCATGGACAACCCCCCCCCCCCCCCCTAAAAAGAAAATTAAAAATGCAAATGGAAAGAGAAAAATGATTGATAACAATTAGGATGAGAAATATTTTTATTGACAACAGGTGTATAAAGTAATTACTTCGTCTGGTGATTAGATTTAACCAAACTGTATTTTTTACTAATGCATCTCACATTCTGAAAGGGACTCCTATATAGTATTCTCTTTGTTACACAAATATTACAGTGTCCTTGAAAAAAAAAAAAATTCCTTACTCATATTAAACTCTACTCTGAACAGAATTCTAAATAAAGTGCATGTGTACCTTCCTCTCTCTCTTCTTCCTCCTTACTCCTCCTCCTCCTCCTGGTTCTAGAAACAGAGTAGTTATTATAGAAACAGTGTCATGCAAATAATTTAGTTCCAGGCTCTAAGGGTATTGCATGGTTCTTAGATCTTGAACTAGAATGCACTCCAAATAAACTCATTTTGCCTGACTTTTAATATCTACTTGGGAAAAGATATCTCTTGTCTTTTGTCCTCCCTCTGTCACGTTTTTTTTTTTTTCTTTCTTTCTTTCTTTCTTTCTTTCTTTCTTTCTTTCTTTTTTCCTTTAGATTATCGACAATCTCATTCAAGTCTTAACGCAGTTGAAGTGAAGACGTGGTTGACTGTAACAAAGCTTGAACCTCGTCCTCTAGTTAAATTGACTCTTTAATCCAAGGTGTTGTCTGTTTCTTGTGTTCACAGGTTGGACGGCAACTCTGGGCTGTCGTGTATCAGTGTACTGTATGGGGGTCCTTTAACCTTTAGACAGTGGGTAAAGCCCTTCCATTAGGTGCTGCTCTTGGGTCACCAAGCACACAGAGTTCTCTATGCAATCTTCAGAGCCAGTTCATCTTGCTTTGCTGTATTTTGGCCAAGAGGTGACTCACATTTAATACACTCTCACTCTGCCTCTCTGTACCTCTTCGTGGGAACAGATCCCTGACTGCAACTTTTAAATGTGAGTATCACCCACCTAATTCAAGACAAAATATTTGTTCGCTATGCAATGTCATGTGTTGACAGGTTTGGAGGCACACCTGCTCTTGGTGTTATGCCATAAGGCCAGCCTTGTTGCAGCCATAACCTAGTGCCAGATCACCTGTATGGATGAGGGGAACTACGTATGCCAGTTCCACAGCCTACTGTGGCTTCAGAGAAATTCACTTCTCATGTTTTGGCTGTTTTCTTTTGTCTTGTAGAGCAAGTTCCACATCCACTGTCTTCTGTGTAAACATATCCAAAATATAAGATCGGACTTGTCCTTACATTTTACTTTGCTATTTGGTGGTCAGATCATATCAACTGCATTATAGTTATGTTTATTTTAAGAAGGTGCATTTTTGGTCAATTTGATATTTTTGTTTTGAAACTCAAGGATGTTGAGAATCCTCATCACAGGTTCACCCTTGCATGATGCAAGTTCCAAATAATGTGCTGTTACGGCAAACCATAAATTTTGGAAAAATCAGCGCCTGTTGTGTTGTGTTAAAGGTTGTGATTGCTTGTCTTAGGGGCATTGAGTCATTCGCAGGCCACTGTCGAGGTGAATGAAGCTGGAATCAAAGTTATTCTTCAGTTGTAGGGTCTCCCTAAGAGCTGCAAGGAGGACGAGGAATATTGTAGGAATAAGTATAATGAGGATGAGCTTATATACTTGCACTGTATATGCATGAAAACTTAAGAAACTTTCAGTGGATGAAAGGGTGATTTTTTCTGTTCATAGACTGTGTTGATTTACTCATATCTCAGATAAGTTTTACTGATACTATATTTTGAGATCATTTTTGTATGTGCCCTTGATATGCAGTCTTATTGCAGTTGCATAAACACATCTTGTCATTTCCTAATGAAAATTGAATAATGTTTGAGCAAATTTAGTTTAATAATAGTAATTAATTCACTTAAGGGAACCATAACCATCTAGTCTTGGATGCCCTTAACCCATTGGATCTGAATGCTTCACTGCATCATGTGGCCCAAGATGCAGGCATTAGGCGTACATGAGCAAATGCTCAAGTTGGGTGTCAGCTTGTAGGCCAGGCACAAATAAACACTCATGTGCAGTGTCAAGGTTCCATGCTCCCCTTTGCAGTGTTATTTTGTTTTATTTGGCCTAAGTGTTTTTAGCTTTTTTGCCATGATTTAGTGTCTATTTTTACCCTTTTGAGTTACTTTATTCAGATGGTAATAAGCTGTTTTCCTTGCACAGACTTCATATCATTCCTTAAGGTTGTCTATAACTCAGTGCAAGAATAATAACAATAAGTAGCTTTTTTTTTCTTCTTCTTCATCATAATATTACATTTTCTGTTATACAACCTGCGCTGCCAGTCATGGCCGGCAGCAATAGGATCCTGAGCATGGAAATGGCGTCCTCCCTTGAGTCAGCACTCTTCCATTATATTCCATACTGCAAAAGCACCTTCTTAACCACCAAATGAGAATAATAACCCTGAAGAGTTTGTGGTTTCCTGGTGGGTCTTTCCCATCACCCTGACCTTCAGCCGAAACACTCACAACAGCAAGTTTATGTCACCCTCACCCACAGCCAAATTTTCCCATGATGGCATGTTCTCATCCCCTGCCCCTCAAGCCAAATTTTTTCATGACGTGATGGCCACAGCATATTGTAGGGGTTCATATGGGACAGCTAGCTCGCTCTCTCTCTCTCTCTCTCTCTCTCTCTCTCTCTCTCTCTCTCTCTCTCTCTCTCTCTCTCTCTCTCTCTCTCTCTCTCTGTATCTCTCTCTCTCTCTGTGTATCTCTCTCTCTCTCACTTGTACCTGTTTATTTATATTCCAGTTTCAATTGTCAAGAAAAGAAAAATAATGTTTCACTTTTATTTTTAAAGTAAAAACTACACTACAAAATGCACCATAAATGAAGAAAATTATTTTCAAAATGATAGGGGGGGGGGAGAAGAAATGGCCGTTCAAATACGATCTTTGCCAGCTATTGATTCAAGTGAATTTTTTTATGGGCCCATGATTTGAATGTAAATTTTACTGTAAAAACAAATTAAATTATTTCTTTAGGTGAGTGCCTATTGAGTGATGTGTGTGTGTGTGTGTTTCACACTCACACTCACACTCTCACTCTCACTCTCACTCTCTCTCACATGCACACGCACACGCACACGCGCGCGCGCGCGCGCACACACACACACACACACACACACACACACACACACACACACACACACACACACACACACACACACACACACACACACACACACACACAGTTTGGTATCATTAAAGAAAAAAGATGAAACAGTTCTTTAAAAGCACATGGACTCTACATAGTAAGTGAAATAGTAGCTGTGATTTCTTTGATGTATTAGTGAATGTTCAATTAAGAATCATTTCATGGTTTTCCAATTATTTTGTATCCAATTACCAATAACATTGTGTACTATAGTACAGTGCTGACCATAATTTATATTTCAATGTGCATACCCCGGTCTGTCTCTCTTTCTTTCTTTCCTTCTTTCTTTTCTTTTCTATTTTTATATTTTTGTAAGACAATAGTTGATATATATTGTTATATATGTTAGTATTTTTGCATACCATATATCTAAAGAGGAAATATGACCTATCATTTATGAAATAAAGAATGACTGTATTGGCAAGACATTTTAGAACTGAAATATTCTCATTCATACATTAGGATAGTTTGCTTGATTTTGATAGTTTTCTCAGAAGCTTGGTTTACAATAGTACAAAGTAGGGATCATGGATTCAATAACAAGACAAGGGCAAAACCTGAATAGTGACTGAAGTTTGGAGTCAAAGCTTGCTATTAAGCTGCACATTTCCAGTGGAACAACAGTGAGGGAAGGGGATGGAGGTGAAGCATCAAATAAAATGTAAATGTCCCTTTTTTAAATCTATCTCCCCAGGTAGATTTGATCTTGGTTTAACGTCATCATTACCTTTTATTGCTAACAGTGGGCGCTTTTTCCACAGGTGTTGAGACGAGCGAGGAGAGTGACAGCAGTGACACAGATGACATGTGTGGGAGTCAGCAGGGCTGGGTCGACCCCACAGATAGTTTGTGTCTAGCAAGAAGAGGCTGGGACTCTCTTGGAGGAGACTCCAGTAGCAGACAACAGCAATGGCTTGACCCCTCAGGCACCACGCCAGCGTGGTCTTCTAAAAGTACAAGTTGTCAGCGGTCCAACACCATCGCTGCTGCCCTGGCATCATATAGACGGCAGGTGAGTTGGCCTCACTGCCAGTACGATATTAGCAGTCTCTCAGATTTCAGTAAATGGTGCTCGTTTTCAGGTAAGGTATGATCATTTTAGTCATTTAAATAAGTGATATAGTAGTCACTTGGTAGTTTGAATATTGAAGTTATCTGTTTATATTGTTAAGCACAGGCAATTTTGATGATTTTGAATTTATTTTGTTTATTTCTGTTTATGCACTATTTATTGTTATCATGATTATTATTATTGTTATAGTTATTGTTATTTTTATCATTATTATTGTTATTGTTATGGTAGAAAAAAACACAGTGCAAAACTAGATTTATTGAAAATAAATACACCTGTATTTCATCTTCATTTCTGTTATTGTTATTGTTATTTATTTTTTTTTTTTTTTAATTATTATAATTATTATTTTTATTTTTATTATTAATATTATTACTATTAGTGTTATTGTTATTATCATCATCATTACTGTATATTGCTATTGATATTATTATTATTATTATTATTATTATTATTATTATTATTATTTTTATTACTACTTCTTCTACTTTTATCACTATTATGAATATTAATTTTATCTTCTTATTAGACTTTGAATTCTTGTTGAGATTATTTCCTGTTGACTGTTAGAATGGGAACTGTAATTGCTAAATGAAATGGCTAAGGATTTCCTGATTGATTAGAGTCATGCATTTTTTTATAACTTGATTGCCAGTAATTTGATTTTCCTACAGTTTTATGTTATTAATCTATTAATGCTGGGAGTGCATGTATACACGTCTTGTCTGCTAATTTTATTTTGCTTTTTTTTTATACATAGATGTCTCCAGAAGTGCTTTATTACCAAGGAGTTAATTACTTGGCCTACCTGTTTACACCATTACTTGAAGTGACTGAAAGAAAAGTGTTTTTTATTTTTATTATTATCAAAGAGGCAATTAGGTGAGGACAGGTAGGCTTCATACCTGACTCCTTGGTGAGTAAGCACTTGTGAAGCCATCCATGTGTAAACAAAATTGACAAAACAGAACAACAGTGAACAGCTCATGTTCCTGGCACCAGTGATCTAACATTGCTATCTTGGACAGGTGTTTTAACAGACAGTTGCAGCTTATGTCTGCAGCACTAATTTATAGTTTTAAATTGACAGATATCCAAAGAATGAACCACAAAACACACACATTTGAATTCTGTTCTTTCATTATGATGTATCAATATTTTTTTCATTTCTTCTTCTATTTTTTTTTTTTTTTTTTTTCTTTCTTTCTTTCTTTCTTTCTTTTCCCTTCACTCAATTTATGTGATTATTTCCAGGTTGTAGCATCTCGATTACGTTCCAACCAGAGAGCGTGGGAGGCTCTGAAACAGTGCCCGCTTACAAAGTCTCTTGTAGAGGCTGCGCGGACTCACCCCCGCTTAGCTGCAAATGCTTGCTGTCTATTTAGGAATTCACAGAATGAACATGAATCTCCTAAAATGAAATCTAGGTGGGTCAGCTTGCGAATTTAGTTGTCAACTATTTTCATCTCTTTCTGATCACCTCAGTATGTTTACAGGCTAAGACTAACTTCCCTTTTTTCTGCTTATTATATTTACAATAATTAACCTAGTAACAGTGACATACAGAGCTATTAGCTAGTTACTCCCCCTTGCAGTAAGACTAACAGGCTCCCCTCCCCACCCCCTGCTAAATGGGGAAATCCATTTGCACAACTATAGGGTTGATTTTTTTTTTCTCTCTCTCTCTCTCTCTCTCAGTTACAAGGGACACATTCTTTACACACTAGTAAAGGAAACATTTTTTGCAAAAAATTAAAGTTTGAAAGAATGTGTCTTCATGAGTTGAACATATGTATTCATGTGAGTTTTTAATAAATATTTGTTATTTGCAATAATAAGTTTTAATGCAACTTATACATACCATTTATCACTCACTCAATGTTACATTTCTTCATTTTGTAGAATCTATATTCATTTGTGTTTTTCTTTCCAAGATTTAAGTCATCTGTGTTGATTCGTCGTGATTGCGCCTACGATGATGGGGGAGGAAGTGGGCCATGTGGTGATGCTTCCTTGCCTGGGACAAGACATTGTATACGGCACATTATGTACAATGTGGACCAGCAGTTGTTCACCCACTGTACTGCTCGGCACTCGGATAACACACCTTGTCGTATCCCGGTGTTCGACGTGTGTCATGAGCTTCCACTCTGTCCCCAGCATAGCGTGAGGGTGAGTCGAAATAGTCATCTTTACTGCACTTTTAAGGACAAGTGTTTTTTAGAAAGAGTTTAGAGAAGATGATCCAATGTCTATTAAATTTGTATTTTGTTTAATTTATATTAATCTGTACCACAGTTTAAGAAACTATAAATTCAGTACATGTAAGTATACCTGAAATGAATCTAAAATAGGTACACACATAAACTGGTAAGTAGTAACATGTACAAAGGAAATCTTGGGCAAATATGAACTGTCTTTTGCAAATTTTCTACAGGAAAGTTGTAAGAAAAGCAGTGTAGAAGAGACTCCCAAACCTAAGAGATCTCGCAAAAAAAATAAGATGCCAATATTATCAAGATATGGGAAACGCAGCAAAAAGCGACGGCGGTCCTCTAACTCCACTAGCTCGGTGATCCCTTCAACAAGCGTCAGACCTCCCATGGCAAGCCAGTCATCCCTTTCATCACCGCAGCCATCACCCACAACCCCACAGACCTCACCCCACTTCTCTGCTGCCTCTTGTACAGGTGAGCTGAAGCATAAAGGTCTCAGTTTGAAAGTTTCAAAGTCTTTAACCCTCTGATGACATCTTGTACCCATGCCATTCCAAGCCACATGCCAGACATTGCCCACAGTCAGCTTACCTTTTCCCACTACCTACAATTTTGGCATATGTGATCTTTGAACAAACAAGACTAAAGAGAGTCTTTAAGACTACTTTGAAAGGCTGTACCTCGTCAGTGACCATAGCCAGGGCCAAATAGTGAAAAACTGTTCAGTTTGTATAACAAAGAATTGGCTTTATTGCACATGGCACAGATACTCACATCTCAGTAAATGGGCTCAGTGTATCATGGCAGGAACAGATCCCCCTTGACATGAAAATATTTCTCAGCCTGTCTGATAATGGGAATCTGTATAACATGTTGATGCTTTACACTCACCTCGTGCAGGAGCTTTTGTTGCATCATAATTTTTTTCTTTTCTTTTCTCATCTTCCTATAACTTTGTTTTCATGAATTTCCCCTGAGGTAGGTAGAGATGATCATTTTTATTGTTCACATCTGCACCTACAGATATGAACAGTAAAAGTAAAATAAGTTTCCTTCTTCGGATTAAAAAGACAGATTCTAAGGGTTGGTGGGAGAGCAATCACGGTTGGGAATGGAGATGGGTTAAGTACTGTCCTACTGTCTTGTGTGTTTTTGAAGGAGTGTTTTTGATCATGGTTACTGGCTTACTTACAGAGTATTAATTGCAGAGAAATATTCCTGCATATGATTATGTTTTGTAGATGATATAATTAAAATGTTGATGGAGATCAGTACCACAGCTTTGTTTTCAAGACTTCTTTTTCTGTTAAGAATATAAAAATATGGGTAGAATGGGTTTATTAATTGATTACTTGTTGACAGATTCTGTAGCTGAAGCAGAAGCAAGTGACCTGGAGGACGACATGGAAGGGATGGTGGAGGGGCTGGATGCTGCTTCTCGTCTTCTTGATCCTCATGATCTCCAGGATGTATTGAACCGCATCCCAGATCATGAACTCACTCAGCTCTTTGATGCACCAGGTGTGTTCATCTGTATATTATAAGTTAACTTTTTTATAGTACCATCTTCCTAAGTGTTTTTAACAGAGTTTAAGCCACATAGTAACATGTTTTTAATTATTTTTACAGAAAGTAAAACCGGAGAATTTGTGGTTGCAAGTGAAGAGAAAGTTGAGCTGGAGACAGATCACGGTGAGGATGATGAGGTTACTGCAGACTCACCACCTCCCAGCAGCAGCCCAGCTGCAGCCACACCAGCTGCAGCATCTGCCACCACCACCTCGCCCACACCGCCACTAGTAGAGGAAGGCACAACGCTTAGCCTCGATGAATCCACCCTGAATGACCTAGTAGCAGGAAACATCCCCATAGATTCAATCATCTCATCCTCATTCAACCAACAAGAACTTAACACCATCTCTCAGGCACTATCAAACATTGTGCAGGAAAACAATATTAACCTTGGGGTATTTGACCTCAACGCAGGCAACTCCTTTTCCGCCTCAGAGACAGGAGGCTCCGGGCCGGTGGGGGATGTCAGTGACAGTTCTCTGATGTCCCAGGCGAGTGATGCTACAAATCATACAGATTTTTGTGAAGCAGGACCGCCATTACCCGAGTGTAAAATAAATATATTGAACCAGCGACCTGGGATCATCACAGACACTGCCACACTTTCACCACTAAAATAAGACCTTTTTAAAAAGTTTTGAGTTATTTGCAGATTCATCTGCTTTTGCTGCCCAAAAATATATTTGAAAAAAGAAATACTGTACTAGTTGAGAGTTTTGCTATGGCAAGCATCGGTACAATATCGAGAGGAGGACTGGTTAAAAGGTACAATGTGATTAACATGAATTATTACTGTGCAGTTGTGTGTTTACTTGTCAACAGTGTAACAGTGATGTTAATAAACTGTACATAATTGGCTTGTTCACTTTGTTAAAACACTTCTTGTAAGGTTTTATCAAATTATTATTTATTTATTGTTTTTTTTAATGAAAATTGTATTCTTCCATGTTCAAGTATATACTTTGAAATGGCACATTAGAAGCTATCATATAGTATTACTAAAGTTGAAGTAGTTACTTGGAGGAGGTAGATGAAGTGTTTGGATTGGTAGTAAGGAATGGGAGGCTAGATCTTTCTGATGCAGTGCAACTACCTAGCAGTCTTGTGTTGTACACATTTTTCTAATGATCCACTTCACAGCAAACACACAACAAATGCTGTATTGATACAGGTTTTTAGAACAAATATTAACAAGAATTTGGGTAGTGGCTCAGGCCACACTGATGAAATGTGCACAACCTGTGGAGAGCATGAGCATCATTATGTAATGTGTGTGTGTGTGTGTGTGAACATTAGAAAATTCCTAGCTTGTATATACACGCAGAAGTGAAGGTTCTCCTATTGCAGTCCCATATACAGTGGTAAGGCTGGTAAGGATTTGCAGTATGGTAAATGCGAGCATGAATCTGATTAGGTGTTCTGCTGTTCTTTGCATTGACTATGGACTTTAGTGTTGAGCCTTCCCAGCTTTCTATCAAATTTTCATGACTTGGAGCTTGCTTCCATTGTCTTTATTTTTATATATTTTTTTTATAACATTTTTTTTTTTTCTCATGTATTTATTATAACTATTTATTTATATATTTACTTATTTATTTATGTACTTATTCTTCATTAACGCCATTGAAAAGTGCTGAAAAAAAAAAAAAATGTTGCTGGTTTTGGAAACGTTTTGGAGGGACCTGAATGCAGATGATCAAAAGATCCTCCTCAGCACTAGAGAAAATGGGAGATGATTAGGAATGGGCGAGTTACGACCATGACTCCATGATCTGCAGTACCACGGAAAGCTCACCATTAGCTTTTAACTTACCATATTGGCCTAGGGAACTCAGGATTTTTCCCATAGTTAAGGGCAGTTTCACTCATACAAGCGTACTTGTTTATAATAGGATAAGAGTATACACTTTTAATATGCAGTATTTGACTAGAAAATAGCTGGGCTATAGAAAATCAGAAGTAAGAGTGTTGTTTGCTAGATGTGAATTCAAATAAAAGAAAAAAAAAACTAGACTGGAAAGAAATTGGTGTCAGTGTTTTTACTTAGTTTTTACTTCATAATTATTGTACTGTCAAATCCACAAAGAGCAAGTGATTCCTTTTGTATGTCTTAAAGCAACAAAGTGTGAAATAGAAAAGGGTACTATTTTCCTCTTGTAAATGATTATGAAGGTGTGGGTATACAGTATTGAAGTAAGTTTGAAAGTAATCAAAATACATTTATTTGCTCTTCACAAAACAAAAAAAGTTGAAGCTGAATAGTCCAGTGAAAAATAATGCTTAGAGGAATATTAGCTCTGGAAAGCACGTGCATTTGCATGTGTTTCAGATCTGGACTTGTGATAAGAGAATAGTTCAGGAAACAGATACTTTCTATAGAGTAGTGCAGAACATGGATAGCTGGTACTCACAACTGAGCACATGATTGTACAAAAATGTGATTAAAGTGTAAATGACTTAAATTACCTCCATATCAGACCGGACACAATATAGCCACGCATAACAGTACAACTAGCGTTATACAACTAACCGATACAAGTGTATTCATATCCAGATAGATATATGCATGTATGTGGGGGAATGCATGTGCATGCATGCAGTCTATTTGCTTCTTCAGTTTGTTCTTGTTGTGTTTTGTATTTTCAATCTTGATCACTAATTGGCATACTAATTTTTAGATGTATATCAGTTTTACATATTTTTATACCGGCTTCATCAATACCAACTTCAAACTCATCTTCATCATCCCTTTTTCACCTCCCATGGAATCATTTTGGATTATTAAGGGCTTATTCATGAACTTGGAACAGTGCCAATACGTAATACAACTAAGCCTTCAGGGACACATGCAGAGAGGAGTGCTTGGGAACCTCACAAGGATCCCAAGACAGAAGTGGTTGCAACTGTTACTCTTTTACAAGTAGATAAATTAACAATGTTCTTGCCTTTTGTAAATCTGGGTTACCCAAACAGTCACTGAGCTTATAAGAATTTGACAGCTATGCTGTTGAAAATGGAGCTTGCAGTTGAATGGAGTGGGTAGAGAACCAGCTGCAGATATTCTGTGTTGCTTTTTGTTGCATGCATATTAGCGTGTGTCCGGTAACAGAAACACACAGCATCGCCAACAGATGGAGTGATGTATTGTGTATGTCAAATTGATGTGATATGCTTGGATATTTGAAGGTGTTTTTGGTGGTTAATGGTCAGATTTACCAGTTTCTTCCCAGGAAAATGCTTTCTGGTTTTCTCTTCAGACAGTTTATCACTTATATTATCCTGGTCTGTCACCTATTTGGTCTCCTCTTCTCATCTTTTAACTTTTCTTTCTTTACATTCTGAAAGTTACTTAAGGAGAATATAAGAAGAAAGAATCGAAATGAAGTATGCAGAAATTAAACATCAAGCAGTTCACTTCATCAGAAATGCTTTCATTATAATTTGTGTTTGCATTCATGCCTCCATTGATAAAAGGAATTTTGATATAAGTGCAAAGATTTGAAGTCTCATGGAGAAAAAATATTACTTGCTATTTTAATCTTTCTGTGAATAAATGTTTGTCTGTCACTGAACACTAAGATGTCAAACCAGATAATGCCTAGACTTTATGGGCATATATTAGTCACCAGCTTTCAGGGGAATCATATCATATTTATCTGATGTGATGGTTAATGACCAGACACACCATTTTTTCTGGACTTTCTGGACTGTTAGGAAAGTTTGTTATCACTTCAATGATTTGAAGTGACATTTTTCTCTGGAGTAACAGGTAATAAGTAATATTGATACATGAAAGAAAATCCTTCATACAGCTTGTATTTTGCTTAGATAGATATTTAAAATCATACGTTATCTGAGGCAACATGATATTGTGCTGTTTAAGAGAAAGCACCCAAATTAGCCTTTAGAGTTACTTGCCTGTGACACTCCAACAACGAGTTGATTTCTAAATGCAATGACTTTTGAGGCAAAATAAAGTAATTTTTCACCAAACTCAAGTTATGCAAAGCATATAATTGAAAATATGAACTAAGCAGATGATTTCAGTCTTCAAAGAAATGCAGTGGTCTTTCATCTGTCTCTTTGTGTGTGTTTGAAGCTAATCTAATTTGATCCAAGTAAAATTGATGACACAGGAACCATCCAAAAGTATTTTGTTTGCCTTAAAAGTAGTACATGGGATGCTACATTGTTTCAGGAAGTTCAGGTGTTATTGCTGGTATTACTGCTGCTGTCCCTGTTAAAGAATGAGGAAAATGGGGAAGAGGAACACCATATATGAAAGAATACCAGCAGTGGAGAAGCAGCTTCAGAGGAAAAAAGAGATTGTATAAAACTATGGCCAACATTATCTTGTAGAAGATATGTCTCATGCAAAGTACAATATAAAAGCCAATGCTGAATTGACTGTCAAGTCAGTGTAATATGTTGCCAGTTGATGTTGTGACTGATAGTTTGTTGTAGTGCAATACTGATAAGGGAAAAAATCACAAAGAAAAGCAGTTCAGGTACTTAGACTTTGCGATGCTGTGTGTGGGAATCTGTTTGCTGCTGTAGGCAGTGCCATTTGATGCTTGATTACAGTTTTTTTTTTTTTCTCCTTTTTTTTTTTCTTTTTTTTATGAGATTCTCCCCTCCTAGCATTTTAGATTGCAGAGGCATTACTTGTGGGACAATAGAGTGAGATACATACTTGCATGTATCATGATGAGCAAGTTAAAGGTGATGCAATGAACTGAGACTTGACATGAGTAGTTGTCCCATTGAAGAAGAATAGTGTTGGGAGTGTCTGCACTTGCCATTTTGGTTCCATTTTGAAACACTGTGTGCATCAGGGCAGTGGAGTGTGTTTGTTCATTATTTCTGGACATTATACACCTTCACTGGTAGATGTTTAGCTGCAATTGATAATTTGCATCTCAGTTGTAGTTGTACTTTTGTGACCCTAAATCATGTGTGTCCCTCTGTCTTTATATAAAGGAGGTTATCCAGCAGTGACAAATAACTTTTGAATTATAAAGGAGAAAGAGGAAAATTCTGTTCAGACTTTGGGTTTGTTTTCTCTTTGTACATGTATGTGAAACGGCCAGCAAAACTACTCTGATTAAAACTAGTCTATTCTGTGATTATAGAATTGATGTAACTACTTGTAGGTACAAAACTTGTGTTCGTAATTGAACCTATGGGTGTTTTCTTTCCATTATTTTACGTATTATTCATTCATATTCTTAACAGTATTCCCACCTATTTTTAAACTTTGTATGAATATTGTTCACTGTTTCCTTATTTCTGTTTTTTTGTTTTCTTTTAAGTAGATATGGTAAGGAACTGGCTTATGATTGTTTTCCAACACATGTTCAACAGTGGGAAGGCAGTCTCTTCATGGCAGTTGTATGGTGTCTGTACACTGTCACCCCTGTTCATATCTTTCACTCAAATATAAGCAGTGATTGATACCGAGTTTCAAGAAAATGAAAAAAAAAATGCCTCTGTCAGTTTATTTATTTAGTTTTAACTTTTGCGGGTTGAGAAGGGTGGTCCATTAACCAAGATTGAGTGTGAGAAGGAGAAGGATTTCCCTGCTTAGTGTCATAGACTCTTTATTCCTATTACAATTATTATTAGGACCAGTTTATTGTGTTTATGAAACAGCAGCAAGGGATATGTATGTATAATCTAGAAGTACGTTACAGTTATACCCTGACACTTGTTTTTCAAATTTTCTAACACCTTAATGAAAAAAAAAGATTAGTAAAAAAAAAAAAAAGGGATTTTGGGATAAATTCTAGAAAATTACTGGGAAAAAAAATACAAAAATATTGTAGACTATCTGCTCGTCAAGGGAAAATGTTTTTTT